AATAAAACCGCAATGAAAGAATTCTTCTTTAAAGGTGTATGAAGATGATAATTTCCATTTATCGCCTAGGTGCGTTTTCGTTTTAATTTGGAATTGTGGCGAGTCCAATAAAAATAAAATAAAATATAAGAATAAAAATGTTAAGTTCTTTGATAAGACAGAAGGTTCTCTCCATTATTTCAAAGATGATTTCTGCCAATCTAGTAGCACTCGAAATTTTAAATGTTCTTTTCGCTAACTATGTAGGCGGCCTTTGATAACTTTAGGCTAAATTCTAAAAACTTCTTGCTCCCCCGCCTAAAAAAAAAAAAAAACACATTTGTCTCTGCGACATATACACGAGGTGTTCGGAAATTTTTCTCTTTTAGATTAAAATCACACAAAATGATCAAACATCAGATTTTTTTTTTAATGTTTTCTTGTTTGGACACAGCATTTTTCAACACCTCCTTATATATATATATATATATATGTGTGTGTGTGTGTGTGTGTGTGTGTATCTGTGTGTGAGAGAGAGGGATCTAATTGTGTATGAGCGTGTGTATGTATTTGTTTGATGGTTATGCGGTATATTTCCATCTTTCGTTCTATTGAAGCATGCATAGACTGCGGTTGATATCCCATATCATAATTGATCTGTAGACAAGCCTAAGTGTCAATCGCACCTTGAAAAAAGCCATCTTATCTGTGCTTACATCAAAATAGTGTGCCATTATTCTGAAGGTAACCTTATATTTAGACCACCATGATGTGCCGGCGGGTAGGAGTATGGAATTATGACCTACTTTGAAATGAAGACACTCTTTGTTCTATAGACGGCCCATTTCTTCTGGAAAGAGTTACAAAATAGCTCACCTTGGCACTGGGAATTCATTTCTGAACAACAGAACCTATTTTATTATATTTCATTCCATAGTTACAATATATGCGTGCTTCTAGCAAGCAGTTCATATGTATCTCAACTTATTCATATCTATATATCTATCCCACTTCACATGAATCTATTTCAGTCGATTTATATCTATTTATCGATCTGTCTGCTTATATATGTTTCGATAGATAGATATGAAAAGACTGATATACACTATCTACCTATCTATATATCTGTCAGTCTCTCTCTCTCTCTCTCTCACTCTCTCTCTCTCATATATATATATATATATATATAGGTAGTAATCCGTTGGTATAATCCAGGCGAGTCCTATTAACACAATATAGAATTTGAAATATGTTAAAACTGACTCACAAAATAGCACTCAATGTTTATTTTCATTAAAGAGAGGAAATAAAATTAAAATTCGAAAGTAAAAATGATCATTAACTAAAGGTATCTTAATTCCAATTTAAAGTATATATATATATATATATATATATATATATATATATATATATATATTGAACAATAAAAAATATTGAGAAATTAAAAAAAATAAAAAATTTTCAGACAGACTTGTATATTAATAATTTTGTTTAATTGTTTCAATTAGATTCATTCATATATATATATATATATATATATATATATATATAAAGACAGGAACAGACTATCTGTTCATCTATCCATCTAGTTTCAGTCTGTATCTATCTCCGGTTATCTATCTGTTTTTTATATCTGTCTATCTTTCTGACTATCTATCTATTTTTCTTTTCGTTCTATCTATCTATCTATCTATCTATCTATCTATCTATCTATCTATCTATCTCTGCCAATCTCTATTCTTCTCCGAGTTTCACTACTTTTTTTACCTTTTGACTTTTCTCCTTTTTATTTTCTTTATGGTTTCTGTTCTTCGGTTTGATTTTTCCCCAATATTTTTTATTTTAATATTTTGCCAAAATGTCACGCTTATAATTTTTCAATTATTTCTACAACGTAAATAAACTAAATAACCCAGAAAGTGGTGCATTGTGGGTAGTCTATTATGGCGGTTATTTTACCGGAAGTCGTTTATTTATTTATTTGGGTTAAATTATTTTGCTTGTTTTTATTTAATTTTATTTTTTGTTTCTTATTTTATTTTTTTATTTACTTATTTTTTTTAATCGGTGTTTTTATTAACGTAGTAAATACAACACAATGCACCGCTGACCCGTATATGTATAAATAACCGAGAAAAATAACAGCACACATGGCCTGACGATTGCATATAGCATGAAACAGATTGTCGCCTCTAAGTGTTGACTTCTATGTTCACTTTTATATTTACACACGCTCTATCTCTGATATTGAGCACTTTATCCCATAAATATAGCACACCTTAAGACTATATTTCTTTATATATATATATATATATATATATATATATATATATATTATATTTCAGTCAATATATATGCTTTGCAGGCAGGTAAATATTGTTAAAACATTTACATTATTTACATTGTTCGGACTAATATCCTCATCATTGTTGACATATTCATGACCTTCCGTCCCTTGTACGCTCCTTCCTTGTTCAGGTTATTGGAATTTCGAACTGAACCCTTTATTTCGTCCACCGGGGTAGATTGTTCTAGTTCTATGTATCTTTTATACGTGTATTTTTTTTTGTGCATGTTTGTTTTCCTTATGTACAAATATCTGACATTTTTGTTTGCTTATTTTTTTTTTTTGCATTTGAATAAATAACCAATTTTGATCTTGTGCAACTAACATTGCCTGTAATATCGGTCTATATTTCTGAGATAAGGTATGGTAATTATTTACATTGTTCGGACTGTTGTCCGCATCTTTATTGTCATGTTCCCGACGTTTCAGCCGTTGTACGGTCCAGTCTTCTTCAGCTGATTGGTCCTCAAGGACACATGACCCAGTGGATAAAAGCATCATCATGGCTCGTCACAGTCTCTGTTTTTTTGTTTTTTGGGGGTTTTTTTTTCTTTTCTTTTTTTTTTATTTGTGAATTGGCATGTCTTCTTGGGTAATATATACAGGGTATAATAGCAAAATTATTCAAATCGTGTGACAGCATAATTATCCATCCCACAAAATGTTTAATATCTAAAAAAAACACTAAATTAATTGAGTTTCTTTTTTCCAGGTTTTCAGATAAGGCATTTAGCCATCGTGATGCCATTTTTCGTAAGAATCACTGAAAAACCATTTGAGTTATTCAGATAGAAAGTTAACAGGTTGAAATTGTTTTGTGTCAGACCCACTCTCTTCTCAACTGAGCAATGGTGAGAGGAAAAAAATTTCAGGCCTTCAGTAATGATACCAACATACATAATCTGGCTTCCATCTTCAGAGTCCATTCAAGAACCATCAAGAGAACAGTGATTAAGTTTAAAAAAGAGGGATCAGTAGACAGGAAAACTGGATCAGGAGGTCACAACAGGAAGAAGGATCATCATTTCAGCATCATTTCAAATTTCAGCTAAAGAGATCAATTAGAAAAGATCCAACTCAATCCATAAGACGGTTGGCAAGTGTACCATTCGACCGTGCCTTAATCTACCCATGGCTGACGAGAGAAGAGATATCAGGTCATCCTATATGTTCTGTCCGAATTTTAACTTTTTGTTAAAATGAACGAAATTTAAAGAGTATTTTATAATATCTAATGGAGCTGAACATTATTTTTATGTTTAGATGCATTTAAACTGATCAAATTTTATTTCAGAGAACAATAAAATTAAATTTTGTTTGATTAAAACCCTGCTAACATGGAAGTACCCATGAATCATTCGAGGCACATAATGCTTTATGAGTTCAAGAAAGGAAACTCAGCAGCCAAAGCGGCTAGAAACATTCACTCAGTTTATGGAGAGGAAGGTGTGAATGAAAGAACTTGCAGAAGATGGTTCGCAAAATTCAGAGATGGAGATTTCAGCCTTGAAGATGAAGATCGAACCGGACGTCCAGTTGAGTTGGATGAAAAGCTTCTTGAAGCAGCCCTTGAAGAAAATCCTGCTTTATCAGTTGAGGAATTGGCAGTGGTTCTCAGTTCAAACCATACAACTGTTCATCGTCATCTTCAACAACTTGGAATAGTTCCTAAACTTGGGAAATGGGTGCCTCATGAATTGTCTGAAAACAACCTCAAATCACGAGTTGACATCTTCTCTTCTCTCCATTCTCGCCAATTTGCTTCACCTTTTTTGGATAGACTTGTGACTGACGACGAAAAATGGATCTTTTATCGAAATGTTAAGCGTCGTAGACAGTGGTTTGGTAAAGGGGAAGGCCCCCAGCCACAGCCGAGAAGGGAACTTCATGGGCAAAAGGTTCTTCTTTCAATCTGGTGGGATCGCCAAGGAATAATCTATCCACTTTGAATGCTTACCACCTAATGCAACAATTAATGCTCAAATGCACTGTCAGCAATTAGAGCGTTTGAACCAAGCATTGAGGAAAAAAAGAAGTGAATCGAAAAGAGGTGATGTTTCATCAGGACAATGCGCGACCCCACACAGCAAGAATCACGTCACAAAAGATCGAAGAACTTGATTGGGAGAAAATTCCTCATCCAGCTTATTCTCCCGATCTTGCTGCTTGTGACTACCATTTGTTTCGTAGCTTACAGAATCATTTGGAAGAAACAGCTTTTGTAACACAGAAAGCGGTTAAAACTGACATTTGTGAGTTCTTCGAATCAAAGCCAAAAGAATTTTATAGTAATGGAATTAGTAAGCTTGTTAATAGATGGAAGGAAGTCATAGATAATCAGGGAAAATACATTGTTGATTGAATCTGTAATTAAATGTAACATTTGGTCACTTGTTTTATTTATTCAAAATTCAAACAGAACTTATGGAATGACCTGAAAGATTCAGGCTTTTTCCAGGTGCATTACTGCCAATTGAACACGTCTTCGGAAGTAATTTGAACCAGTCCTGGCGATTCCATTTTCCACACCGGTGACCGTTACGCCAAATGCAATTTCTTTATGTGGTTCGCCCATTCCGGAGATAACCTGCTTGCCTTGAAAATCAGCTTTGCATGGATAGACTTGAACACATGAATATTAGAACTTCAATCAAAACCGTTATAGTCTCTCCTACTAAGAAGGATCGCAAACAGCAAGATGAACAAAGTGAGATAGACGGATGAGGTGATACTGATCACATAGATAGATAGATAGATAGATAGATAGATAGATAGATAGATAGATAAGGGTAGAGAAGAGAAAGATTAAGAGAAAGAGAAAAAATTTCTTCTTAATTGCAAACCGTAGTGTAAATATTTCTTCCTAATGCATGAATGACCAGATAGATAGATAAATAGTTAGGTAGATAATGAACATAGATAGATAGATAGATAGATAGATAGATAGATAGATAGATAGATAGATGAGGGTAGAGAAGAGAAAGATTAAGAGAAAGAGAAAAAATTTCCCTCTTAATTGCAAACCGTAGTGTAAATATTTCTTCCTAATGCATGAATGACCAGATAGATAGATAAATAGTTAGGTAGATAATGAACATAGATAGATAGATAGATAGATAGATAGATAGATAGATAGATAGATAGATAGAGTTGGATTCATACCTTTCCTAAGGGCACGTACGTGAATGTAAAGAACTAGATTGGAATTCGAATTCGTCTCACCGATTTCCCAGTCCGAGCCGCAGTCCATTACTCTACCCTGCCAAACACGTGGACCCACTAAATATAAAAGTAAAAATAACCGTTTCCATACAGAAAACATTCATCATTCCTTGACTGAACATTTTGCGTAACTGTCGGTTGAAGTTTATAAAAATATCATTAAAATGAACTGACAAGCTTAGACAACTGATTAAACATATTTGCATATATATATATATATATATATATATATATATATATATATATATATATATATATATATATAATCGACCTTGCTAACTGAAACGTCCTCTGTATCTCAATCGGTAAAAAAGCACGTCAGGCTATATGACGGTTCCGTATAGGATACAGGTTCGGTTTCTATGAAAATTTCTCGGACATTCAGGCTGGTAAATATTGTTAATACTGTTTATTATAAACAGAGCATTTACTTAAATATTTGTATCTATAAAAAGAACGTATAAACATTAAAAAATCTCATAATATATATATATAGACACACACACATATATATATATATAGACACACACACACACACACATATATATATATACACACACACATATATATATATATATATATACACAGATATATATATATGTATATATATATATGTGTGTGTGTGTGTGTGTGTGTGTAGAGATAGATAGATAGATAGATAGATAGATAGATAGATAGATAGATAGATAGATAATGGCCACATTGAGATAGCAAGAGACTGTGTTATAGGAGGAGGAGGATTTAACAGAAAGAAACGCTGATTATTAATGGGTTTACAATTGGTGCTGTTATCGCCTCAGTATTTAAATATCCTAATCCGATTTTAATCATCAGGAAATTTAAAATAAAACTTCGCACCCGTGGCCCGCGAAAGTGCTCCAGAAATCTCATGATTGTTATACACTTAATGACCTTTCGCCCCAGCAAAGTCTGTTCTGCACCCACTGACCTTCGATAGTTCGAGGCTGCAGGACCGTTGTTTGGAGAACTAACCATGAGATGACACCGATCCGTAGTATTCGGCAGTTTGTCAGAATTCGGTAATAAAATCATTAAATATTTCGCATGGTGACTCACCTTTTATGGGATTCGTGCTGACCATCGCTTCCGGTGACAAACTGAGAAGGTCAAGACCCTATTCCATGTTTGTCAAATATAGTGTCACGTGTCTTATTAATTGTCAGGAAAGATGGGTCACACGAAATGGTTTTCTTTTTAATTGCTTCATCTTCTTAAGGTTTTTTTATTTTTATTTTTTTATTCAGCTCGTACATTCATGAGCTATGACACCAGCCATCACGATCCTGTACAAAGGTCGGAAGGTCATTAGTGACGCATTCTGTATCATAACATAGTTGGTCAATGTAAGCGGATGCTGGGTGACCAACTCATCTTGCTTCATGGCTAACTCTCGTCTACAGTCACTTTCTGACAGACGCGCCGTCGCCTCCCTCTGTCTGTTCTACAAATACTTTCATGGAAATTGCTCCGAGGAGCTGCATTCGCTGGTTCGCAGACGTCATGAGTTCAAGCGCCCTACGAGGCTGGCATCCCGCTCTCACCCCTTCACTGTCGAAACTCCTAAATGTAGCCGTCTCTTCTACTCTAATAGCTTCATGTCTTGCACCTCTCGCCTGTGGAACTCCCTTCCCTTCTCCTGTTTCCCTGTGAGCTATAATCTCCAGCTATTCAAGTGTAATGTCAATCGACATCTCCAGTTGCCTTGATCTATCCACTACCCTCATCCTTTCTTCTATCACTCCTATCTGATATTGCTCTAAATTTTCTGTAACCCCTTGCGTCCTAGTGGCTTCCCGCCTTGCTTGGGGTGAAATGCTTATAATAAAAAAAAATTTAAAAAATCTAACGACTCCTGGCGTTAATGTTGAGGGCTGAGAAACTGTTTCTGGAGATATATCTGGCTGGAGAAAGTTGATTTGTGAGCGTCGAAAGAATTTTAAGCAGAAGAGAATTGAACATCCTAAGAAAAAGGGCGTCATTAGGAAGAGAGAAATAGAATCTCTCCTAAAGCTATTTGGACACCAACACACTCGCAGTATTTGTAGAAAAGTAACCCTTTCGACAACTGCTTTAGCTATTCACGTGAAATCATACAAGAGTGGTCAGGTACAAACTCCTGTGAATGCAAACCTACCAGAAAGACTTACATGTTACTTGTGCGAGTTTTGAGACAATGTTTCTTGAGGGACTCAAACATCACATGGTTGTACACAGAAACAGGAAAGTGTCCGACATGGGTAACACAGGCAAACTTTATGTTTGGACGTGCGTAAGTCAGGTTGTAAAATTGAATCTGGACTTAAGAATTATTTACGGGCGTTAGCTCATGTATCAATGATGGAAATAATAAAATCCTGAATGAAAAACACAAAAAACTACCAAGTGAAGAGATAGTCTTCTTCTGCAAAGAACTGGCAATCATCATATATATATATATATATATATATATATATATATATATATATGAAGAAATATAGATTGAAGGTGTGCTATACTTATGGAATAAAGTGCTCAATATCAGAGATAGAGCGTATGTAAATATAAATATAAAAGTAAACTTTGAAGTCAACACTCAGAGGCGGCAGGCTTTTTCAATCAGTTTGGAAAGCTATAGTTGATGAACAAATAAGATGTTTTCTTAGAAATCTCAATACTAAGCAAATAGTACATAATACTGCTACTACTAATCTCAAACATATTAATCCCCTATATCGTTATCAAATGCATACTAATTATAAACAAGATCAAAATATACTAAAAAATTAGTAAATACTAATATATCTACAACAGATCCTAGCAAAAAATTAAGTTAATCATATACTACACTTAATCTAGTATATCCAACTCAATTATTCGCAATGATTCTTCTCCCCCGGTTAGCGATTTGCAAAAAAACAACATTGTTTACAAATTCATGTGCCCTTTGGGAGATTGTATCTTCAACGAATTAAATAACATTTATGTTGGTCACACCACAAACTTGCTTTCACAACGCTTGACACTACATTTGAATGATAACTCTAACATTTTTAGGCATTTAAAACAACATGCCTGGCCGCATACACAATTCCGGTAAATCCTTGTTGAAAACACAATTATACTTAAACATGAAAACAATAAACAAAAACTAAAAATTCTTGTAGCTATATACATAAAACAGTTGAAACCTAACCTGAACAAAATAAACTATGAAATCGCCACAAATATTCTTAAATATCTATAATTGGTAACAGAAGCCATTGGTTTATAGCAACGGCTCTCCATACTTAATACTTCCAGCGTCTTGTATGCACGATGTTGTCGTTGCTTGGAAATCTTCCATGTAAACATAAACAGACTATCATTATTGTTTTGTCCGTGTATTGTTTAATATATTGTAATTTAATTGCCATCTTTGATAATGGCTTATGTAAGCCGAAAGCTTACATAAGATTAAAAATATGTATCAATATTGTGATTTTCTTTCTTCGTTTAACGATAATGTTATTAAGCTGATCAGACGTTATGAAAAGAATTTATATAAAATAAATAGACAACACTTGTCTATCTTATTTAATGAAACATGCATCAATGAAAAAATGCTGCCTAAATACACACAATATATATATATATATATATATATATATATATATATATATATATATTAAAGTTGATATAATTCATGTATTATATTTAAAATAAAGTTCACCCTGTACAAAGCCTAAAAGCTAGTAAGATAGAGGGTTATAGAGTAAGAGGCATAATTCCTAGCAAGCTGTTAATGCCAAAAAGACACAAGGGGCCATCGGAATTGGACGCGAAAAAAAGATTTTAGAAGGAATGAAAACAAGGGATAAGCCTCTACCCTTGTTCAAAAATCAGGGAGGAGTGTAAACCGGACGATAGACAAACCTATCTACTCGTATTGAGGAAAAATAGTAAATAAAAGTAAGTGTTAGGCTGAGACGTTGAGGTGAAGTAGCTTTTAGAAGTAACCGTAAACCCAATCCTAAACAGGAACCAAGGGATAAATCTCCGCTTTTGTTCAAAAGGCCCTTAATATGAACCCGGCGATCCCATATATGTACACACACACACACACACACACACTCACACACACGCACGCACACGCACACATATATATATATATATATATATATATATATATATATATATATATATATATATATATATAAGTTTGGTTAAGAACCAATGAAAATTTTTGTCAAGGATTTTTTACTTATTTTCTTAATTAAAATAGATAGCGTGTAAAGATTTCAGAGACCTGTCAAGACAGACACAAAGAGGCTTAACGGAAAAGATAATGACGTATATAATATATATATATATATATATATATATATATATATATATATATATATATATATATTATTATTATATTATTATTATTATTATTATTATTTCCGCTGAGCCTCTTTGTGTCTATCATTTTTTACATGTCTCTAAGATCTTTACACGCTAGGTGTTTTAATTATTCAATTTGGAGTCACGTCACATATCCACTTATGCCAAAACAGTCATAGACAATATACACTGTGTCAATTCGTGGTTGGTATATATCGAAATTCAACTTTACAAATAATTCTCATCATATTTTAAATTTTACTGCTTCTTCCCATCTCCATCTGTTTGTATTTTATTATTACTTTCACAAAATGTTCACTAATGTTTCATAGAACTTTTCCATTTACACGAACATAATGGCTACAAGACTCAGATAAATAAACCCAAAAAAATGATTTAAATAAACATTTTAATTTATATTGCATAAACTTACATTAATTAAACATATTGTTATTTAAACTAGTTTAAATTGCTACATCGGATTTCCAGTCAATGAGGTCACTCGGAAGCTGATGCTATTTATATGCAATATCGTGGACGCGTAATCAAGCGGTTAGAGCGTTCGAATCTCACCATAGTCGATTTGTCAAGGTCATTGTTTGATAATATCGGGCTAGGGTAGGGGTCGGCAATCTTTTAATGGGAGCGGCCCTGAAAGCTATGCAGTGTCTCGGAAGATAGCCATGAATATCAAATACGCTACAATAAATTGTTTCAACCCCGGACTGCTACGTCCAGAAGGCTGCCTTGGTCTGGAGGTTTAAAGAAGAAAAAAAAACAACGAGTTTAATGTTATATTATTTAAACATGGTTCCTTATTTTACTGCAGGAATAACAGGATAACAACTAACACAATCAGTCAAAAATGAAAATTCCTTATTTCGGTTAATTTTGCGGACCGAATAGAAATCATTCGCGGGTGGCACGTGGGCTGGATGTGGCCTGTAGGCCGACGTTTGCCGGCCCCTGGTTTAGTGAGACGATTTTAACATGCGTCAAGCTTGTGAAGCGCCTGAAAACAATACCGTGGTTTAATTCAAGTCTTGTGAGTGAAACCATTAATGGTTTTTTCGAATTTGAAGTTACAAATCATTGTGATGGAGGGTTTGAAAATACCGGTCTTGCGCACTCACAGAAAATTTAATTAAGATCTGTTCAACATAGTTACTGTTTAAACAACAGGTTGGCTCTGTCAGTTTTGAAAAAAAAACACAAATGTTCCTGAGCAGGCGTCTGCAACAGGGATTAGATTTTTTTTTAAGCATTACGCCCCGAACAAGGCGTGAAGCCACTAGGATGCAGGGGGTTGCAGAAGATTTGGAGCAAGAGCAGACAGGAGTGATAGAAGAAAGGATGAGGAGAGGGATAGTGGATAGATCAAGGTAACTGGAGATGTCGATTGACATTACATTTGAATAGTTGGAGATTATAGCTCTCAGGGAAACAGTAATTGGGAAGGGTGTTCCACAGGCGAGAGGTGCGAGGTATGAAGCTATTGGAGTAGAAAAGACGGCTACATTTAAAAGTTTCTACAGTGTAAGGGTGGGAGCGGGATGCCAGCCTCGTAGGGCGCTTGAATTCATGGAGTCTGGGAACCAGTGAAAGCAGCTCATCGGAGCAATTACCATGAAAGTATTTGTAGAAAAGACAGAGAGAGGCGACGGTGCGTCTGTGAGAGAGTGACTGTAGATGAAACGCCAGATCAGGGCCAATTATATTACATATCCGTCTCTGGATCTTGTCAAGAACTCCGAGGTAAACAGAAGGTGCCCCAGACCATATATGGCAGCAATACTCCATGCAAGTGCGAATGGTTGATTTGTATATTTGAAGTATCGATTCCGGGGAGAAAAATTTCCTGGCGCGGCACAGAGAGCCAACTTTCCTCGCGATGGAGCCATACTTATAAACGGTTGCACACGAAAAGGAGTAACGAACCATTTCTAAGTATCGAGGATGTTAAAGCTGTCCATGAATAAGTGAAAGCCATATGCTGGAATGTTGAGGCCGTTGGGGTCAAAAATGGGGTTCTCTCTGGCTGAAGGGAAGATTTGGTTCATTAGTCTGTCATGAAAGAAAATAGAAGTAGCAACAAAGATATTGCAGGTGCCACCTACCTATTAAACCATATCAGGGCAACCCGTGAATGAATAACCAATTTAATGAAGACAGGATTCGTGTTTTCTAGGTACCTCCATTAGGTCACGTAAAAAAGCAGCATATCACGATGAAAACAGGCTCATAAATCAACGAAAACAGTTTTGTCTCAATATGTTGTTATTAATTGAAAGCTAAAACATTAAATTTATTACTTACAGTAAGTAACATATTCTGGTAGACAGAAATTAAATAGATTGGAATGTCAAATATATGCTCGATTTTTGTTTTATTTTCTTAAAAGCGGCCATTTTCTTAAATTTTAAGAAATATTTTAAAAATACTTTTGGTCTTTCCTCTTCATAACGACATAAACATTGAGACAAAACTTTGTTTTCGTTGATTTATGGACCTTTTTTCATCGTGATATGCTGCTTATTTTTTACGTGACCTAATGGAGGTACCTAGACTGTTTTCTGTTCTTGTCATAGCATTATTTTATCTTTGATTCCCTTGTGAATATACACCAGGCCTTATCAATTTTTTTTTTTTTTTGCATACCAACACACAGTTGTCCAGTTGTTGAAAGACTAACAAAAAGCCCCACGTGTATGCTTATACATTTTATTTTACTAAAACAATATATTTTTTTTTTTTTTGATGTCAGTCAAGTAAGAAAAACTTTTCTCTGCACATCCAACCTGCAAACTTAGTAGTTATTAGTTGTAACCAACTTGCAGGAAAGTCATTTTTTTTTTGTTAACATTTACAGTGACTCTCAGATTGTATGTAGATGTAACAATGGTGTGTAGAAGATGCATTCACTTGTAGGTTTACAATTCCACCAGCTTTTTCTGATGCATTAATTTAGCTGATAAAGTGCAGATCCACCTATTTGTATGAATATGATCTGTATACGTTTTCAATTGCAGAACTTAATGTTTGAAAAAAAGCTGAAAAATTTGTTTGAAATTAAATATGAAAAAAAACACTAGCATCAAGTAATTTTAGCTGAACCTAATAGTTATTGAATTCTTATAATTGAGTCCTATTTCATGCTTAAAATATAACTCTCAAGTCAGTTAGACATTTTAGTTATTTTCCTTTTGTTAAAATGGGGGTCACCACAGTTGTAAGGTCTTTCTTTGGGAGGATATCTTAAGCGGATGTTACATCTGTAATTTTAATCAATTAATTTTGATTTTCATAATATAGTAATTATATATTTGTGGTATGGAATGCACACATGTACATACATACAGCACGAATATGAATATAAAAAAGAGAAATATATAAGGAAGACAAACTCGTAGGTAAGTAATGAAATAGAAGATCTACTGCACGAAGCTACACTTAGCATTTGACCTAATACTAACTCGGTATTTATCCGAGTTCCCCATAGAGTGGGATGGGGCACAGAGCCGGTTTAACGTGGGTTTTTCCGAGCCAGTTGTCCCAGGCAAAAATTACCTGTCGCCCTCAGAAAATTTAAATATAGTGTCAATGCAATATCAAACGTTATTTTCTGTCTTCTTAATTCTCATTCTTTTATTGTCCTCTCTCCTTCATAGTATTTTTCTCATATTCCCTAACACTCAGAAACCCCTTGCATCTTAGTGGCTTTATTGCCTTGCTTGGGATGAAATGATTTTAAAAAATTGGTAACCATAGTTTAATATGATACAACGCTTGTTTTCTTAGATTAACTGGTTCCATATTTCCTGTTAATGCCAGAGATCGGTATTCGAGTTGAATTATACTCCAGGACTTCGAATACCGATTTTTTAGGCAGGCAGACAAGCTCTTCTCCACACTTGTAAGAATAATCATTCTACTTCCAGTTGATTTTGTGTCAAACTAAGTTAAGCTTCATAACGAAAACAGGAGTACCGTAATATTACTATTAAGACAGGAGTAAATAGTTGTGCCATCAGTATAAGCACAGAATTAAGAACTGATTACATTTGAAAGGTCATTGATGAAAATAAGAAATAACGGAGGATTGTGCACTAGATGACTCCGTGTTAATGTGAAATGATTTAAAAGGGTGGCCATTTAACTTGACCTTTGTTACACAATTTCTTAAGAACGATTAGATTAAATCAAATATACGTCCAGAGACACGCTAACCATAAGCTTGTGAAAAAGGACCGCATGCTAAACTATGTCAACTTTTGACATAATTTACTATTTGTTCAAATATTTCAACTAAGTAGTAATAAGGTTTATGAAAAATAGCAAAACAATTTTACCGCTTCACTAAAAAGATTACCGTTATTCCCGTGTATAATACGCATTTTTTTCTAAAAATTAATAAGCAAAATCAGGGGTACACATTATGCACAGCTAGAAAAACCTTTAAAAAATAAAATATTCATAAAACTAAATTATATTATTATTCGATGTTTAAAACCATTTTTTAAAATAAGAGTAGGAAACGCTGGCCGTAATGAAATTGGGGAAGAACAATTTATAGGGTTTGATTACCAAAAAGGGTGCGTATTATGCGTGAGTAGAAGCATTTTCCCAGACATTCAGCACATTTTTAAGGAGTGTGTATTACGGATGAAGGAGTATTATACATGGGGAATTACGGTAGTTAAAAAATGAGAGGAAGAATTTTTTTTTTCTATTATTTATTTAAGAACAAGAGAATAAGCAAAACATTGTGAAAACAATTCTTTTCTTCATTAGAAGGACGAATTGCAACAGACAGCGAAGGAACAATATCACTGAGAACGAAATGTACCCATTGACCTCCCAAAGTTAAAAAAAAAAAAGAAAATCCGGCCTTGAATTGCTGTAGGTCTAGGCGACATATGTTATTCGATTTGGGTTAGATTTGAGGTGGGTAAGGAAGAAAACTTAATCGGATAAATGTTTTACGATTGTCGGATTTCTCCTTCTCTGGGTTTGGGGAAAAGAGACGCAAATCCTGACAGACGGCAGAAAATAAAAAAATAAATAAAATCAAAGACAATCTGAATGTGCGAGAATGAAAGAAAAAATTGGATAGACGAGGGGTTTTTGATGATGACAGAAGAAATTCCTCTGAGAAATTAAAAGACATAAGGTTTCTTAGCCCTTTAAGCCCTGCGTTCCTAAACAATTTTAACCCTTCTGCTTGAGCTCCTGAGTCAAAATTCGCAATTAATTGGTATGTAATGTTTCACGGTAGATATAAAAATTGTTACAAAAAATACAAGCATTATATACTTAGCAGGGAAAGAGGCGTATTATTATGGCTTCACTTCATTAGTATGGCTTCACTTTATGGCGAGAATTCTTTCTCTGTGTGCCAGTCTACCCAAAATAAGACAGTCAATAGCAAAAGTAACACAAGTGTTTACTCACCGTTTAACCGGTAGCTGGGCATTAAGTTATTTTCTCTACCACCGTTAAAGCGGCAGTCAGAGCTCAAGGGGTTAAGAAAGCAAAAGTCGACTAGACTCTCCAGAGGCACCAGTGAAAGACACTTGGTCAATTGGATTGTTTTGAATAAAAAATCAATTTACTTTTATTCTTATTATTCGAGGCTGACAGCTGCCTCACGTTTAAACAACAGTTCTCATCCAGTTACCAAAGTTAAGCAACGCTGAGATCGGTCAGTACCTAGATATGTGACCACTTGACCACTTAGGAATACCAGGTGCTGTAAGCTTAGATGTGCGGGTGGTTTAATGTATAATAGCTCGGAATTGTTAATCGGAGAGCCGAGTTCCAATTCCCGTTAGGTTTGTTAAATTCACTTACGTGGAAATAACCTTGGAAAAATGAATCCACCTCTTCTCCCCAACTATGGGTTAATTAGTAAGAGTTATATCACTAAACCATTGTTATCTTTAAAAAAATTCTTAAAATCTAAAAATATTTCCTGGCATTAAGTTACATGAAAAGGGTTGATAAGCCGTAATAAACGAATCATTCAATTATTTATTCGAAATAACCCCGTAAAAGTAAGGCTGTAGAAACATCAAAAAGCTGTAGTGAAAGGTGAAACAATGAAATCGGGCATGGCTGATCATAAAAGGAGAGGAAGAGGTAGTTATCATCCCCTGTGGAATATTGGACATGGAAGAACACTGGACAGTTAAACACCTGAAAGAATCAGCGCATATGTTAGACTATGAGAACTTCATTAGTAGGCCTAGCATAGGAATAAATATAATATGGGAGATGCTAATAAAAAAAATGACACATGACATCAAGTATTCAGCCGCAGCAGTAGCAGCACCAATCAAAACATGGCCAGCAGAAGTCAAACCAGTTGCAACCTAATCAGAAGCTATGTTAAATTTAAGGCTCTAAGTTTACTACAGCAAATTATCCTACGAGACAATGGGTAAAAGTATTGGTTTGTAAATTTGGTGAGATAGTGGTTGTGAGTTCAATCCCTAGGTCGGGCAGTGTTAACTTGTAACCAATAATAGAATTGTATTAAATAAGAACAGTGAAACGAGAACAGGGTTTACCTCCGGAGATTAAATAAAGGGTTCACTTCAGAATTCTCTGTAAGTTATCCAGATCGATATATACCTAAGGAAGGCCGGAGGTCACAACGGCCGAAACGTTGTGATAACAACAATAAAGATGGGGACAATAGTCCGAATATAAATAAAATAAATAAGTTTCCTTTTTATTTACATTTTTTCTAAAAGTTCATTGTTGCTCACATATTGCTTCCATGGAATTCTCATCATCCTACCGTAGAGCCACATTTTTGTAGCTTCATGTCACTTCTTCATCTGTGAGGGGATTGTGCCCGGCAATCACTGCCATATATGTTCCTGAGCTAAGGTTGCTAAGTGTAGAAATTTCTTTACATATATATATATATATATATATATATATATATATATGAAGAAATATAGTCTTAAGGTTTGCTATATTTATGGGATAAAGTGCTCAATATCAGAGATAGAGCGTGTGTACATATAAAAGTGAACATTGAAGAGGTGACAGGCTGTTTCATTAGAGGTGACAGGCTGTTTCATGCTAGACGCACTCGTCTGAAGATTGCGTCCAGTGTGAAACAGCCTGTCGTCTCTAATGTTGACTTCAGTGTTCACTTTATATATATATATATATATATATATATATATATATATATATATATATATATATATAATCCATCTCACTCCCATCGAGGTAGTAAAACACAAGGGAATACAGGCCGTGAAAGAATTAGGAACAGAAAAATTATCAATGAGCGGGAGGAGAAATGATTAATCAGGAGGACAGTAGACAGCAATTGACATTGCGTTTAAATTTTTGGAGATTAAAGTTGGCTGGAAATCATGGAGCCAGAAAGGAGTTCCACAAGCGAGAAGTGTGAGAAAAGAAACTGTTAGCATAGAATTGACAGCTACTTTTAGCCAGCTCAACTGTAAATTAATGATATATCGAAAGCCGGTTCAGTATTGCGCTTAAAATCAAAAAGTCTTGATACCATAGCGAAGAGCTCATCCACTCCATTACGATGGAAGTATTTCAGGGAGGCAACATGAGAAATATAGATAGTAGATTATTCAAACAGTTTTCAGGGCCTTCTCTGTTCTGGAGATCAACATCTTTTTAAACATCGCAATCCATTCACGACCTCTTCTTGCACTTAATGCATAATTACTATATGTTTTAACGATCTCATGTCGAAATATCGATGCAATCATTTTGCAAATTAAACATGAAGAATAAATTAACGTGACTTTTATATACGACCATTTGTTAAAATTAAAATAAAATTATTCCTTTCCCCGTAAAAGATTTCTAAATATGATCACATAATACAGGGTGTCCATAAAGTTTATGTGCACTTTAAAAAATTTATAATTTTATTTGTATTTGCGATAGAAATAATTTGTAAAAAGGATTAGAAAGAAGTAAATCTATATTTTTTAAGGTTTTATTGAAATTTTATTTAAGTCTCCACATGTCCTCCATCATTAGCAATACAAAGGGCAATACGGTTTTGCAGTTCACAGAAAACATTTGCCAAATGATTTACAGTAATGCCTAAAATAACATTAGTTATTTTAGCTATACTTAAAACTAGGTATATTAAACTTTATAAAATTTTTTACAGATTATTTCTATCGCAAATACAAATAAAGTTATAATTTTTTAAAATTTCACACGAACTTTATGGACACCCTGTATAAGTAAACTTCTGCACACTGATATTCTTAAAATTATATACAAATTTGAAGTGGTAAGTCGCAAACCCTTTTAATCAACGCTACAAAGTTTGGTAGGCATATCGTTTGCGGTACATCACGCCTCAACTGTTGTTTTACGGCTGCCCATGAAAAATCTATATATAAAATCCTGCGACTTCCGTTAGTCCGTCCGATCCCTCCGTCCGTCCGTCACAGCCTCTAAAATAGCCATACATTGACAGATGGAAACTAAATTTGGAGAAGAGGTAAGGGGGTACAATAACTTTTCTTTCATTTTTTTTTTTTTTTGAAAAATTAAAAGTTTTTTTTTATTTAACATACAAAATACACCCACTATTTAAGAACAATTTAACGATTAAAATAACAAATACTTCTTTTATAAAAAATGCAATATTGTTTTTTGCATATCTTTTCTTTAAGATTTTATACACAAAAATCCAGTTTTCATTTCGCCCTGCGTTTGGTTTATTTCAAACAGAAATTATATTGATTGGAACCGATTTGTGGGGAGGGGGCTAAAATAGCTGATTAGCGCACTTTTTTAGTCGCCTTTTATCACAATGCAATTCTCTGCATTAAAGAAAATCTTCCAAAATTAAAATATCATTTTCTGAAACATTATTTGAGGAATTTTCGCTGATTTAAAGTATAGTTAATCTGATCTGATAAAAATATTATTTACTTTAAGTTTAAAATAACACAGAAATGGACTTTTGTAACAACCAGTAGCTGTATTTTTAACCGACAGTAGCCATGTTTTAAGTGATTAACGAGCGATCACAAGTGTAGAAAGATTTATTGCTGTTCTACGGAGATTTTATCTGTAAAACACAATTTAAGAAAATGATGGGTGTGCGCCTTTCATATATATATATATATATATATATATATATATATATATATATATATATATATTTAAGTATTCAGTAATCTTAAAAATGTCGGAAAATATTCTGCGTAATCTAATTTTAGGAATTTTAAATTTACTAGTCATCGTTCTTATTTTCTGATAATGTTGTGTATGGTCGCCCATACTTTCAAAATGGGCACGTGACATATTTTATATACTTAAAAACTTTTTTAATTATTTTAAAAATCTTGGTGCATAATGATTTGTATCAAGCTTTTCAATTTTTTGATTAGTAAATGTAGTTTTCATTTAATAACATCACCTAACGCAATCAGACTAATGTAGAACTTTAAAAGATTTGTAACTTTATAAATTATTATAATTAAAATTAATTTATAATTAAAATTTAAAAAACCTTAAAACAATTCTTGTAAAAATTCATTATGCATCTAATTTGTTTTTCTTAAGACAATAGTGGCCATAATAAATCTTATTTATAAAAGCAATTAAAAGCTTTTCTAATTAAATAATGTCATATTTTTATTGCAGTTTTTATTTTAAGATTTGGAGCAGATATTTGAAAAATGAGTAGCAGTATGAAAAAAAAATGACTTTACATTCACCAAGGAGTCCGGCTTTTTAGTAATAAAACAAATTTTGGAATGAAAATTTAATTTCTTGAAATTTAGTAAGTTGGGGAGGGTAATATATGTAATTTTTTTCCGAGATTTTATTAAAAAAAAATTTAAATAATTTAATTCAATTGAGAATAAGTCATGAATGCTTCATAAAAATCCGACAATAATTTAATATTTTCAAGAATTTCCAAAGTAATGTGTATTTCACTGGAAAAAAAAAGGCGCTAAAACAGTAATCGTAAATATTACGTCGACCGTTACCGCAAAAAAAAAACAGGATATTTTAACTAAAATTTTGAACGTGCTATATAGGGTTAAAAAATTTAATAAAATAATCAGAAATACTTTGGTCTTTCCTCTTAATAATAACATATACATTTATCGATAAGATTTTGTTTTCATTAAGTTTGGGATCTTTTTTTCATCGTGCTATGCTGTTTTCTCAGCGAATTATTGAAAGTACCTACTTTAAATAGATAGATAGATAGATAGATAGATAGATAGATAGATAGATAGATTGATTAATTAATATCACCTAAGTGTTTCGTTTAAAACATTTCTGCGTCTTGGTCTTTTTAAAAATCACTAACTTTTTCCCTTGTACTTTTATTTACACGAGTACTTAAAAAAAATTATGAATTTTTTAAGGGGCGTGGCGAGGGCTTTTTACATTTTTTTTTCTGAATATAACTTGCTGACTCAGCATAAATACTTGTTTTTTTGGCCTTCATATTTACTGAAGTGTGTAAAGACATGACGTTGAGTTATATTTACTTTACTTTCGGATTGTAATTAAAATTGAGTGTTTTATATTTACAGATTTATTGCAGCTAGTGTATCACTAATACATTAAGAGGGTGTGCTGAAAAGTGTTCGGCCCGAATCATTTCCAAAGTCTAACCAAGTTACACGTAATTTTTTTCCATTTTTTTTTCATTTTTAAGGATTATTGAGCAACTGAAAGCTTTTCATCAACTCCTCATACATGCATACATATATACATACACACACACACATATATATATATTATATTTTTTCGTCTAAGTTGCTACCTGAATTTGACCAAAAACAAAATAATTTCCATGCCTGAAGATGACTGAATATACAGTCGAAAGTACTTGAGTATTTAAGGAAGACCTAATACAGTTTATAATTTTGAAAAACGAGGATCATAACATTCATCGAGTGATAGTTAGGTTAATGCATCTTTAAAATTTTGTTAGCGCAGGGATTTCGCCATTTTATATCATTAACTTTACTAATCTACTTTTTGTATGAATGATTCATTGTAAGATATATATATATATATATATATATATATATATATATATATATATATATATATATATATAAGCTCTCTCCGTACAATCTCTGGCCTAACGGTTGATTATCGAGTGTTAAATGCCGACCTTTTTGAGAAATGCAAGATTGGTACCATCGAGACCTTCATAATGCAATCACAACTACGTTGGGATGGCCATGTGGCAAGGATGAGTGATGATCGCATACCGAAAGTTCTTTTTTAAAGTGAACTCCATAGTGGTCATAGAAATATTGATAGACCTTGGCTCAGGTATATAAAGATAAACTGAAAAGCAACCTTTCTTGCGTCAAAATTCCATTCAAGAACTTTGAAGAAGTAGCTATGGAGAGATCAGAGTATCTTTCAGGAATAATACACCATCAAGAAGTAAGCATCAGTCGACTGCGTGAAATACGAAAGCAAAATAAGACAGATAACAGTGTTCCTGCTGCATTTGGATACAGTACATTCTCCTGTACTGTTTTATGGTCTTTTGAGCAATTCTCGAGCTGGTCTCAAATGTCATGCCCGTCATAGACATGCAGATAATTACTTCGTAGTCGTCGGAACCTCATACGTCGAACTCGACGGGAGAGTCCATATATATATATATATGTGTGTGTGTGTGTGTGTGTGTGTGTGTGTGTGTGCACGCATAACTTAATCTGGTACGAGAGAATCGAAAATTTCACTGGCTTAGCTGATGGTCTGTCAGACAAACGTGATGTTATCTCTGCGAAACCTAATAATTGCACAAGACAAAATATCTCATAATAAAATCATTGTTTATTCATATTCGGACTTCCTTGCGAGGGTCTATGACATTGGCTTCTCTCTTTGAACTTTGGCTCGTTTCATTGAACTTTGGCTTCTTTCTTTGAACTTTGGCTCCTTTCTTGTCTTCCGGAAGTTCCACGTTTCCACATTCTAAACTCAACTGTGTCAACCCCGTTTAACGTCGGTGGCAGCCATTGACATTCTGTGAGGGGTGATTCTGCATCTGGTTGCTACAAGGCCATCTTTCATGTCAATCTACTGATGCTTATGGCTCCACTAATGCTCTGGTGTGACATTGAGTGTAAAGCCTACCTTGGTATCTCCTATCGTGAGCCTAGTACATATTGAGGTCACCACAGATCAACTTCTTTTAGAACAAAGATATTTTACTTAGATTAAATTCTATTCAGGCCTTTGGCATTCGCATGTGTGCATCACATACTACACATGTTTGCGTGTGCGGGTGTTGTAACGGATAACAACACGGAATGATGAATTGAAAAGCCGAGTTTGAATTACGCGCAAATATCAAGGAAAGAGAAAACCCATCCCTTCTCCCCCCAGTTATGGGTTAAATAGTAGGACTTGAATCCGGAAAAATCATTATTACCGCCCCAAAATTGTTGATCCAATATCCGCAAAAAATATTATTCTTACATTGCAAAATATGTTTTGGCTTTCAAAAAAAAAATACCCACAAAGGGTTGATAAGCCGTAAAAAACAAGTCATTCTTTTGTTCTAAAGCACCTTTAAACGATAAAATAATAGTAACAACTGTAGTTATGTGTATTTCTTAAAATTGTTCTCAGGCAAAACGCGACTAAAAATTCGCATTCTAAAAATAGTTTACAACATTTGAACATCACAGAGGTTGGGGAATGATTTTCTGGGTGGGGAATCTTTGGCGATAGGTCTGCCAGATATGTGAAATACTCACTGCTGATTGAAATCTCTACAAAGTTAATCTTCGAGACATGCCTGCCACTATTCCAACGTTACGCTCTATATATGGGCCTACGGGTATTTTTTTTTTTTCTTTTGCATGAACTTGTGCCTTCGTTTATATTGATTTTCATCTTCGAAAGCACCGTTCGCCAGAATCATACATGCAGGCGTACGGTGCTAAGATGAAAAACGAAACTACAAGTTCATAAGACACTATTTGCCGTAAATTCCTGCTCCTACCCGGCAAAAATATCCTTGGGTACATATAGAAAGCGTAACGCATTGGAATAGTGGCTGGTATGTTACCCTCGAAGATTGACTTTGTAACAACTTCAATCGGCAATGAGTAGTCCAGATATTTGACGCACCGCTGGCTAAAGTTACGGGGATTCACGGGGTTGGTGGAGGGGAAAGTGGGACAGAGGAAAACAACGCATAAGGTACTTAGTGAGCTTGGCTAAATGGATGACAGAATAGGGTTTATGTGAAATAACAGAAAGACCAAGTTTATTAAGAGCCCATAAGGGCACATAAAGAAGAAAAGAAGAAACGCCATAAAACACATAACTTAATTCTTCATGTATAATACACCTTCACCCGCGTCCTGGGTAAGACGTTAAACTACATCCGCGTCCTGGGTAAGACGTTAAACTACGTCCAGTAGCAAGGCTTCTGATCAGGAGGTTTTGAGGAGCGTGGAAGAATCACCTCTTAATTGCTGGTGTTCCCAGGTCCACGCTGACCCGGGGTGGTAGCACCTGTTAGGGCCCGAGCAATGGGAAAATAGTTAACTATTACCAGCAATACCTTTATAAAAAAATTATTACCAGCAATACAATTTTGAAGGAATTATATTACCAGAAACAGATTTTTGACAAAACTTAATATTACCAGCAAATAGAAATTTTTGTCAGCATTAAATAACCCATTGAGATTGATATGCCGTAAAACAAAATAAACCAAACCAATCTAAACCAAAGAATACATACTCTACTCATACGAATCTCTCCTAAAAATGTTGCCGGCATAAGATAACCCATTGAGGTTGATATGCCGTAAAACAAAAAAAAGCAAACCAATTTAAACCGAAGAATACATATTCTATTCATACGAATCTATCCTAAAAATGTTGTCGGCATTAAATAACCCTTTGAGGTTGATATGCCGTAAAACAAAATAAACCAAACCAAACCATATCCTTCATCCATAATGCACACACCTAAAGGTGTGCTGAAAGTCTGGGAAATGCTTCTACTCACGCATAATACGCACCCTTGTTTGGTAATCAAACCCTATAAATTGTACTTCCCCAATTTCGTTACGGCCAACGTTTTCTACTCTTATTTAAAAAATGGTTTTAAACATAGAATAATATTATTATTATTTAGTTTTATGAATATTCTTATTTCATTTTACGGCAATTTTTTAAAGATTTTTATAGCTGTGCATAATACGCACCCCTGATTTTGCTTATTAATTTTTAGAAAAAAATGCGTATTATACATGCGAATTACGGTAATCTTTTTAGTGATGCGGTAAAATTGTTTTTCTATTTTTCATAAACCTTATTACTACTTAGTTGAAATATTTGAACAAATAGTAAATTATGTCAAAAGTTGACATAGTTTAGCATGCGGTCCTTTTTCACAAGCTTAAGGTTAGCGTTTCTCTGGACGAATATTTGACTTAATCTAATCGTTCTTAAGAAATTGTGTAACAAAGATCGAGTTAAATGGCCACCCTTTTAAATCATTTCACATTAATACGTGGTCATCTAGTGCACAATACTCCGTTATTTCTTATTTTCATCAATGACCTTTCAAATGTAATCAGTTCTTAACTCTGTGTTTATACTGATGGCACAACTATTTACTCCTGTTTTAATATTAAGTCCGATAGATTCGACAAAGTAAAACTGGCAGCTACTCTCCTAAATGACTCACCAATCAGTTGTTTACTGGGGCAAGAAATGGCTTGTAAATTTTAACACCTCCAAAATGAAATTGTTGTCTTTTAAACATCATTGATAAACATTTTGCCATCCATTAGCATGGCTGATGCTAACCTCCAGGAGAGCAACTCATTGTGCCTTCTTTGGCTCATGTTTTTCCACTGATATGAAATAGAGTGATTATAATGAATCAATCGGTCATCTGGTAGGAAAGTTGGTTCATTGTGTCCTGCAAGATCATTTTCCCGCCAGAATCCATCTTGCACATTTATAAATCTACCATTCGTCTGTGCATTGAATATTGCTGCAATAGCTGGTCTGGTGCCCCATGCTATATATCTATACAGATTCTTGATAAAATGCAAAGAAGAATTTGCAATATCACTGGTCCTGACCTGGCATCTCGGCTTCAGTCAGTTTCCCATAGCCGTAATGGAGCTTTACTATAGCTTTTGTATACTTTCATAAAAGATAAACTTTCCTTTCTAGTACCTAGACCGCATAAATGGTGTTGTTTTACTGCTGAGCTAACTAGATTTAACCGTATATACTTAGATCTACGTCGTTTCTTATCTTTGTCAACGGTCTTCCAGATGTCATCAATTCTCAACTCGATATTAATGCTGAAGACAATAGATCCGAGAAAGCAAAACTAGCAGCTGCTCTTGAAAATGACCTCCAATCAGTTGTTAACTGGGGCAATGAATGGCTTGTAAATTTTAATGCCTCCAAAACAAAATTGCTAACCATTTGTGCTCTCTAACAACATGGATGATGC